GTGTGTGTGTGTGTGTTATCTCTAAGGGTTGACAATTAGAATTCAGACTATGCTCTCTGTCTGCTATTGAATGGCAGTCTTAGACCCCATGGGGTTGGTTAAAAACAAGACTGGCTTTGGCTCCAGAAAAAGTCCAGTCCTCTCCACTCCTTTGCTCATCTATATCTTCTCTCATTCTCTTGTATCACAAAACCCAGGTGCAAACAAATACAACTGGTGACCCACCCTCCTCTGAGCTCAGGGCTTAGTGATAAACTGTTGTCCTCTTCTCTTCTCTCCACTCCTCTTGCTCCCAAACAAATCCACAAGAGTCTTCATATCCCTCATTATGCTGACAGGCCTGGCCCCCTAATGTTAACCAGCCTTCCTCTGTCATCTCATCCCAGTGGTAATGAGATACCCCCCCCCCACACACACAGACACATAAGTGTTAAATGATTTACAGTCATACAATCACACACATATAATAATACACAGACACATCTGAGAAGTGTATACACACACACATAGGACACGCAAAGCCTTGCAGGCATGCCGAGTTATTCTATTAAGCCAAAGGGGGCTGATCACGCAGCGCGTTAGCTCATCTTGTCACTAATGTGGCTCTCATTTGCATCAACACACACTTGACCCATGCCCCCTGCCCAGCGTCCTCCCCTCCTTGCTACCCATTCCCTTCTGGCGTGCCCTGGCCATGCAAATACTCTTCGCAGTGCCATCATCTGGCCATTAGTGCCCGTGGAGTACACACAGAAATACACACATAGAGACTGGCACTTTTTATTTAATGGCATGAAGATTTATTAATTGCAAACATACCACAACCGCTGCTGCTCCTGCTAAAACTGAGGAAAGAGTGGAGGAGGGAGGAGGATGGGTGAATTTAGAGAAATAGAGTAGAGCCGGACTGATATATCGGTTGGCCACCGGAGGTATAAAGTGTAATTTCAAATGGAATTATCTAAAGCTGGAGCCTTTTGTCAAGTACAATCATAATTGCAAGATTTGGGAAGTTCACCAGCAGAGGAACACTAACCACAGGCAAGTGGAATGTATAGCCCTTATGCAGGTTTTAGCAGGTAAGAATTTGATATTACCATATAGAGGTCCTCTGCAGGGTTTTTTTCTGTACATAATTGTCAAGATGAGTTTTATAGGAGTCTCAAAGAACAATTAATGTGCCCCCCCCCCTCACCTCCACCATCCAGTGTTGGTTGTGTCATGATTACTTTTTCACAGGCCATGAAAGTTTTATGTAAATTGGCCAAACAGTGGGTTGCATTTAAAATGTTACCATTTTGTAGGGTGTCCTCAGTTCAATTCTGAGCCAGGTATCTTTGTCATATGTTCCTCCTCTATCTCTACAGTACATGTGATTTCTGTGGATTTTGACTGGTAGCTGTCCAGTAAAAACAAATGCAAAAAATGTTAAAAGAAAACACAAAAGATATCATCATTTACCAAAGTTAAAGTACGTCTTAGTAGAAACAACAGGTAGTCTGGCTGCAAAAGTGGTAGGATCACACACTGTGAAAATTGAAAGGCACAGCTAGCTGAGGATAACGGTGATTGACTGGTATGTTGTCATGTGCAGGTGTCAGCCGTGAAATCCTTGGAAGGCCCCCTGCTGCAGGTGGAGGGGCTTGGAGATCTGCGATTGGAGCTCCACAGCAAGAAGCTCAACATCCACCTTGTACTCATTGATGAGCTGCACCGACACCTCTACATCAAGTCCACAAGTCGGCTGGGACACAAGAACAAGGACAAAAATGCTGCCCGTCTTCTAAGGTAAGAGGCAGCTTCTCATTTTTCTTACATTATATTAATACCACTTTGATTGTTCTCATAAGAATAGAATTGTGAAAATAAAGCTTCAGTGTCATCAGGGGCTGCTTTACCATTTACTTAAGGGTGCATGCTTGAAAAATTATCATTAGAGATTTAATTTAATCACATTTGCTTTCATTACCTTTATTAACATTCCTATTAACTTCCGCAAAGCTGTAGTTGGGGGTCCACACAACAAACATTAAATAAATGTAATTTAATTTCTTCACAGAGTTATCACTAATATACTGTATTAAAGTGTGCAAGGTTTAAAAAGAGACAGAGAGAGTAAGATTGAAACACGTCCTAGACTGTTATAAAATAATCTTTCTTGCCAGTTTGTTTAGTGTGAGGCTCCAAAAGCCTTTATTGTTTGCCTATTATGTAGTCAACCGAAATGTAGCCTTTAAATCGTTTTCTTTGTAAAGTTTAGACTGTATAGATGTTCCTTCATTATAAGTTATTCCATTGCTTGGACAACTTGCCAATTATTTACTGTAAGGAAACCAAGCCAATTACTGACAAAAACAATTAGACCTTCTACAACTTGTTGCTCTTCTTTCTCTTTGTACTTTGGGCTGTGAAGTTCCAAAGACACAGACGAAAAACACCCCACATCATTTATTGTAAAAAGAAAAACATCCCTCATTCACTCATTGGGATTTAGGAAATACGCACTTGGAGTCATGATAGGTGCAACTGTAAACATTGTATTTTTGCAGGTAACAAACCATTTGCCAATAACGAGCAGCAAATAAACAGTTTCGGTGTGACACCAGTGATGCTTTAAATGTAGGTTTTGCAGCTGCTAGGAGAATAACTTCAGCCATGCCTCTGTGACTTGAGGGCCAGTTTCATGATGTGGCCGTATAACTTATTAGGGATAATGTGGCACAATGGCTACGAACACACAGTTGATGCCATTGTGTTCGGTGGATGGCATTCAGCTTAAGTGTTGTTTGCGCTTTTACACATGTGTGTCTCCGTGTGGGGGGTGCAGTAATTATGGTGGCGGTGGGTCGGTGAGGTACAGTGATTTATTACCGAGGGTCAGCCAGTGACAGGTCCTGGCCTTCCTGTATTGGGTCGCCTCTAACAACAAGCCAGCCTCCATACACCCCAGTCACTTAGCAGGCACACTGTGTTTATACCGCCCAACTTAAAGGACCTGGATTGCTTCCACCTCCGGCTTAAGGCTTGATAAATGGCTCATTGGAAAACAGCACCAATCCCACCCAGAGATGCAAGGCTTTTTGTTATAACAGTAGATTGTTTTTTGTTAGAGAAGGGCAGGTTAGTGGGTGCATTACTGTTAGCGCATACTAAACTTTTATATGCGTATAAGAAGCTAATACTCTAGATCTTTGGAGTTAATTTGAGCCCATTCCTCTCATGCAGCTGCAATATCATGCTTTATATTAGACAGAAAGCATAATATTCACAAACATGACTTATTTTATCTTGATAATCACTCTCCCTGGATTTCTTCCATCTGCACAGCTCCACGGCCAAAGACACATCTCCAATGCCTGTGTTGGATGTCGGCAGCCTGTCCACCCCACGCAAGCTTTTGGATTCGACACAGTTCAGCACACCTGGATCCAGCAGTGGTACGGTTCTGAGATAATATTAGATAGAGGAGGGAGAAATAATGGACGGTGGTGAAAATATGATAATGAAGGAAAAAGAGAAGCAAAAAGAAGGGGGAATTGTAAGAGGGTGTTTCATGAAAAACCATAAGTTATATGGCTTGCTCTCCATTAAAATTGCGTACATTAAGAATATTATACAGATAAACACATCAACAAAGCAGTGTTGTTGGTCTCTTCCCACTAACAAAGTGTGTGGATTTCCGTTTGCAATTTTATGTTCACTATGCTGATATTCTTAGTGATAATGAAGTCATTAGCATCACTCTGGCTTACATTCATTTGCATGTCATTATGGGTGTGTATTGCCAACTCTTCTCACACACACACACACACCCACACACAGTATTACTAAATGCACACAGAATCTGCTGATCTGAACTACAAAACACACCACTGATGCTTCTTTGCACATACACACACACACGCACAACTTTGCACACAGGCACACGCCCACATTTCTTTCCTCGCGGTATATGTCATAACATCTTCAACTATGAACATAATATATATTTCCCTCGCTAACGTTATAATCATCTTGTCCCCCCTATCTGTACCATCAGTCACCCAGCACCTCTGTCATCACAGCAGGGTTACAGCATTCATTACGCTCAAACTGGTAACCACCACTGTAACAGGGACTGATAATGCAGACTAAAACTGTATTCAGGAATGTATGAATTCTCTCTTGGTTGTAGGGGCGTAGAGTCAGCACTGCATTCCTTGAAGGCAGAGCACAGAGGAACGCAAACAAGAAGATAATGAAAAAAGTTAATCCTGCAATAACTTGGTGTTCCCTTGGTGTTTCTGAGTTTTTATATTAAGCCTGGCACTTTTTTCACCACCCACTATTGGCATTCTAAGTTAGCAACTCACCGTTTCTTTTTAGCTCTGTGGGTCCAGCCAACCATACATACTGTACATACCACTCTGTATCCACACACATATTAGCTTATTGCTGCTAGTACCTTACTAGTTTGGCAGAGACAGATTAACAACATTAACATATGTTTGGTTTTTCGCCGAAAGCTCCGATGTGGGCAACATTTTTATGTCGTCCTGTGGTTCTTTAAATAAAATGTTGTAGGGCTTATGTGAGCTACATTTCAGTTCTGTATCTTTTACTCCACCTCTTTTTATTCGCTCAGCACATCACCATAAATGTGAATACCATGACCTCAAACACACAAACACACACTGAAATGTACGAATTACCACTAATACATAATAAATATCCACTCAATGTGGGCCTAAAAGTAACAGCTAAACCACAGTTTTCCTCCACATTATGCAAAGAGAACACTGGCAATTAGCTACCACCAGGCGGTAAGTGCCTATACACCGCCATGCTAACAACTGTGGTCACGACACAGCAGCCATCTTCCATCAGTGGCCTAGTTTGCCATTTTATCTAATAGCATTAGAGCACCTCATTTGTAGCTAGTAATTGTCATAATTATTACACAAACTACAGTTGGAATGGGGGAAAGAGGAAATACACCCAAAGTCCATTAACTTGCCATAAACATTAACTCTCTTACCGTGCTTTGATGGGGAATTGGGAGGCCCCATCTAATGGAAATTAGAGCATCATTCGATGCTGCCACTCTCAATTTAGCCGCTAATGTGGCTAAGTCAGATTGAGAGAGCACGAAGTGGGGGAGGATAACAGGAGGTGGCAGGTGTGTGTGTTTAAAAGAGAGAGATGTGGTATATTAATATAGTTAAATCTATAATTGTATTTGTTTTAGAGTGTTATTGAAAATGTAGTTGTAAAACTTCTGAATTGGTAACAAAGCTCAGTAGAATACTGTAAATGTGAGCCATTTGACTAGTATTTAGTATAAATAATAAAAGTACAAAAGTGTGTGTTGATTTTTATTTTTGCGGTTGTCCATGACATAATTACATCCATATGCTTGTAAATATAATAATATAATATAAACAGTGTGTGCTAACCTATGTGTATATATAATGTATATACTTTCTTTAGTACGTGAGGATGGGAGAGAGTTGAACCAAGCAGACCTTCCTGAGGTGGATCCAGAGGAGAACAGTGCTGAGTTTATGGGCATCCTCATCAAGGTACATACATGAGCACTAATGAACACTACTGTTAATTGTGAATATTCACACCTCAATTATGTTACAACCAGGGTTGCCCTATAGCTCACCTGGTAGAG